CAGACCCCCTGCAGACGTGATCCAGACAACCAACTCTCCCTGGAGGATTTCCYGGCAGAACACCGGGGTGTTTATGTCCTCATTAGCACAACCTGCTGCACCTGTGTGAACAGCCGGAGGAGCTGGAGGAGCAGGCCTCCCCGCTCCGCAGGGGCTACCAGGACCCAGACCCAGGCGACGGCTGGGCGCTGGGAAAGCTTGGGTGCCGCAGTCCTCGGTCTACTGGTTAGACTTTTGCTGTTCCTTGTTTCTGGCCTATTCCTGTTTCGATCGGTGGTTAAGGCTGTGGATTGGACAATCCAGGAGTTTCAAAAAGAATCAATGGTTGCCCAGAAATACAAGCCCCTCCCGAACTCGGAGCCTGCGCGGTCCACCCTGTCCCCTGTAGATTAGGCGCAAGACATCTTTGTAACCTCCAGGGATACACGGAATCAACGTCCCCATATCAGCAGAAATGTTATGATCTAAGCTTGGTCAATATAGATGAAAGGTTATAAAATATTAATAAGTAGGACAATGGCATTCTGTGATAAGTGTTATGGAATAAATAATGTTAAGCTACTCTGTTTGAGTTACAAGAAGATAATCACGTAACTGTAAGACATAAGATCTAAGTTGTTAGAAATAAGATGTGGAACAGTGGAAGGTGGTGAGTATGAGCCTAGGTTCATATAGTCACAGGTGAGTGTAGGTTAGTGGGACAGTAGTTGAGTACGAGGTCTAACTATAGACAGGTGTAAGTAAATATAGCCACATGGTGACTCCATTTTTATGATTCCTGTGAGAAACTGTTATGTAAGCTCTTCTAAGATGCTAAAAATAATTGTTTTTCTGTACTTTATACTCCCACAAATGTACTCACAGGATGGAGCCACAGATGGGCTCGAACCCGGGATGGGTTGTTGTCTGATTTGCTCTGCTAACTGCGTTCTCAGCCCTTGTACCCTGGTTGTTGATTCCATAGGGTGTGATTTCCTTCCTTAAATATGCTAGCCACTGACAGACGGGTCTGTTCTCCCACAGGGTCTCTTGGTCCCTGTGAGAAACAGACCCTGGCCAGGGAATAAAAACTCTCTAATTTGTTTCAAATTTGGATTTAAGAGTGTTTTCTGAGCTGTCCCCCGGTAACAGGACGAAGTTACAAGAAGAGGCCTTCGCCCCAAACCCAATGACCCTTAAATGGGATGTTGCTCAACGGGAGCTCTGCTTCCAGAACCACCTCCCCCCCGTATCCCTCAAAACTGAAGGGCCTTCCCAGGAGACTACATTCGGAACTGTGCCCAAAGCCAGTGAGAACCCTAGCCTCCAGCTCCCCTGAAACCGACCCTCGTGAACAAGACAGGGCCAGCCTGACAGGGTCTGTTGTTTTGTTGTTCTGAGGCTGGGCTGGGACTTGCCATCCTCCTGCCTCCGCCTCCTGGTGGCTGGGATGACAGGCATGTGCTGCCCGCCACCTGACCAGCCTGACACACTTAAACAGAAGCCCCAGTAAAGTCTGGCGGGGTTCATCCTGCCTGGAGTCCCTTTGTTTCTAGCAGCAGAGGCCAAAGTCCCCCTGCCTCATCAGCCCCAGGCCTGGAAGTGGGTGGCCCCAGTGGCAGTCCAGTCGGTGGTGGCCCTGGGTGGAACCACTGGGCCCCTAAAGAGGAGGGCCTGGGCCTCGACTTCCTCCACTAGGTCACCACCGGCCTCTGGCCTCTCTCCTGAATGCTCCTGCCCTGGACTCCCGCTGCCATGCAGGGCAGGCCCAAGCCTCCATTTTCCTGCTAATCCCAATGGGCTTGAGACAGCCCTGCTGATGGAGAACAGCACCCCAAAGTTAAAGGAGCGAGATCTTGGTGGGGGTCGGGGAGACACAGGTGGTGCTGATCCCAGAGATTTCAAGATGGGAAACGTAGTAAAAGCTTAGTACAAACGAGAAAAAGCAAGGACGGGTGTGGGTCTCCACTCGCTCCTCTTTCTCAGGGTTATTGGAATTTTCTTTGGGGAGGTGTTAGAGGGTCTTACCCAAGAATCACCCCTCAACTCTGATAAAACACTATGTGGTGTGTGTGTGTGTGTGTGTGTGTGTGTGTGTGCGCGCGCGTGCGTGTGCCTGTGTGTGTGTGTGTGGTACCATGGATGAACCCAGGGGTGCTTACCCACTGGGCAGCCCTGCTAGCCCTTTTTATTTTTGAGTCAGGGTCAGGCTAAGATGCTTTAGTGTCTTGCTAAGTCTCCCAGGCTGGCCTCGAACTTGGGATCCTCCTGCCTCGGTCTCCGAGTTGCTGGGATGTTGGGCGGGTGTGTGCCCTGTGCCTGCAGCTGCTTTGGATCCCTAAACCTGTACTGCGCCTGCGTGACCCACGGGTGGGGAGAAGAGCTGTGGTTCTGATGATGACACTGTAACACTGTGCTGATGAGCAAGGGGTGTGGTGGGTGGGCTCCGAGTCCTCCTGTCTTCCCAGGGACTTGGTCCTGGGTCTGTCTCGGGCCGCAGGGCCGTTGGTCGGCTTTGTGCAGGGTCTTGCTTAAGATGTTTCACCACCAGGACCTTCTGAGGTGCGTACCCTTGCCATTTGGTTCTTAGCCTGGTTTCCCATCTTCCTCCTGTTGCACAAGGAACAGTGTGCCCGGCTGAGGCCAGGCAGGGCCTGAAGTGAGTATCCTGTCACACAGGCAGGCCTGTCAATTAACTGATATTATTCTTTTCTTAAAGCCCTGCCCTGCCCTTCTCACATCTCACTGCTACCTAACACCACCAGAAAACTAGGAGTTAAGAGTGCACCCGAAGGGCTGGGGCTGGGGCTCAGTGGTAGAGCACTTGCCTCTGCTGTGTGAGGCACTGGGGTGGATCCTCAGCCCCACATAAAACAAATAAAATGGAGGTATTGTATCCATCTACAACTTAAAAAATATACATTTAAGGAAGGAGGGGAAAGGAAGGACAGCAGAATAAAATAGACATTATTATTGCTGTGTATATATACGTGACTGCATGACCAATGTGATTCTGCAACCTGTACACTCAGAAAAATGAGAAATTATATCCCATCTGATTCAAATGTATGATATGTCAAGATCATCGTACTGTCATGTGCAACTAAGTAAAACAAATAAAAAATTTAAATATATATATATATATATATATATATATATATATAAAATGCACCAGAAGCCAGGTGCAGTGGTGCATACCTGTAATCCCAGAGGCTCAGAGTCTGAGACAGGAGGATGAGTTCAAACCCAGGCTCTGCAACTTAGCAAGGCCCTAAGCAACTTAGTGAGACCCTGTCTCTAAATAAAATATAAAATGGGCTGGGATGTGGCACAGTGGTTAAGGGTCCTTGGCTTCAATCCCAGGTACCCAAAACAACAAACAAATAATACACACAAAAATACACATCCGGAGCCAGGCCCAGTGACAACTACCTGTAAAATCATTTACTTGAGAGGGGGAGGCAGGACAAATGCAAGTTCCAGGCCAGCTTCAGCAACTTAGAGTGGACCATCCTTCAAGGCTGCGGAATTAAGATGACCGCCTTCAGCTGGCAGGTTGGAGTCAGCCCAGCCTGAGACTCTGGGCAGCAGACTGGCTGAGGTAGGCACTTGGGCAGACGGACGGAAAACGTTGGCCCCGGGAGGGTCAGGTGCCTCTGTAACAAAGCAGGATGACCACAGACAGGCCAGCTCAAAACCCAGGTGAACCTGAAACATCTGCGACCCAGTGCCCTTTCCAAACCAGGACAAATGGTGACACTGTGACCTGTCGGGCCAGGAGACACATGGACCCCAGTGCCCTGGTGTTACTGGACTCAAGACCCACTGCTTTGAACATCTCTCGCCTGTGGTCTTCAAGGCACTTTCTCCCCTCTAACCTTATCATACAAACACCTGGACAGCAGACGCCCCTGGCCACCCCTGGCCACCCCTGCACTGCAGAGCTCTCCTTTCTTTCTGTCATTTTAATCAATCTTGTTACTTTGCTTTCCTCTCTGGGGAACGCATTCTCCAAATTCAGGAGACAAAGAACCCATGGCCTCCACTCTGTGTTATAAACTCAAGAAGTCAGAGCCAGAAAGACAAGGTCACTAAACCTGAGACAGGACAACAGTGTGCCCTGCTTTGAAGATAACATCAGGGACTCTCCCCATAAAGAGACGATTCCAGGTGCTGAGCGGCAAAGCCGCCTTCCATTTACTTTGTTAGCATACTAAAAATCACGCCCCGAGGTGGAGACCTAAGATGCCAAGGAGATGGGAGCCGCAGAGGAGGTGCAGAACGCCAAGACCCCCCACCACACGCCATGTGTGGCGCCCGCCTGTCATCCTGGCAACTCGGGAGGCTGAGGCAGAAGGATCAAGGCCGGCCTCAGCAAATTAATCTTCAAAATAAAATAAAAACAGGGCCAGCGGTGGAGCTCGGTGGAGGTCGCCTCTGGGTTCAGTGTCAAGTACCACGGGTGCAGCGCGCGGCCAGGGCTACAGCGCAAGTCCCAGTTCACACCTGGTTTGCCCGTTCGCGCTCCCCGACCCTCCCTCCTTTCTCCAGCTCCAAAGTTCCCCTCCGAGGCATCAGGCTGTGGCACTCCTGCACCCACAGGCTGCAACTCGGCACGTGGTGGCCTCGGGTGGGGCCACTAGTCTCCGAAGACGGAGGCTCGGGGCCTCAGTCTCCTCCCCTTGGTCCCCACCGCGCTCCCTCCTCAGTTTCCCCGCTCATCCCAGCGGGCTGCGCCACTCCTGAGCCCAGACTGCCACTAGTAGGTGGTGGCCTTGGGCGGAGTCACGACCCCAATGAGAGACGAGGTCCGGGACCTCGATTTCCTCCCCCAGGCCGCCCTCCCGCTGGTTTCCGTCAGGGTCCGGGAGGCGGGAGTCCCGGGACTCCCGCGCGGGGCGGAGCCAGGCGACGCGGGCTGGCGGGCGGAGCCGGGAGGCGCGGGGCGGAGCCGAAGGACGCAGGAGGGGCGGGGCCGGACGACGCGGGGCGGGGCCGGGTGACGCGAGGGGCGGGGCGGGGCCCCGGGCGGCCGCAGCGATGGCAGGTACGGCGGGCCCGGGCGGCGGGCGAGGCTGTGCGCGCGGGGGCTGCACCCACCGTGCGGGCGCGGCCCTCTAAGCTCGTCGCTGCCCCGCAGCTCTGGAGCCACTGTCCCCCGCGGGCGGCGCGGGCGAGGAGGCGCCGGATGAGGACGAGGACGAGGCGGAGGCCGAGGACCCCGAGCGGCCGGCCGGCGCGGGCTGCGGGCGCGGCGGCGTTGGCGGGGCCGGGCCGGGGCTCTGCGGCGCGCTGGGGGGCGCGCTCACCAGGCGCGCGGTCACACTGCGGGTGCTGCTCAAAGACGCCCTGCTGGAGCCTGGCGCCGGGGTGCTGTCCATCTACTACTTGGTGAGCGTCCTCTGACCCTCATCCCAGCTCCGACAACAAGGGAACCCAAGGCCCAGAGCGCCCTGCTGCAGGACGCGACCCCGATGTGGGGAGGGGAACTGAGCCACGGAGCAGCCTGACCCCGGATGGAGCCCCTTCTGGGCTGGAGGACCTGGTTCATCTAAAGCCCCCCTCTGCAGTTGAGAGTCTGAGGCTAAGATGGGCCCTCCTGGCTGTGTGACTCCGCAGCCTCTCTGGGTGGTAGCAGTTTCACCCTCTGTATAAATGGGTGTTTTTCCTCTCCCAGTCCCTTTCCAGTGGATTCAGTGAATAAAGCAGTCCACACATTTCTGCTGTCCAGCAAGGGCTTTAAAAGAATGTACTGTCGTGGTTGCTATTGCTTGATTTTTGCATTGAACACCTGCTGTATGCCAAGCAGCATATTGGGTACTGGGGTACGGTACTAATCAAGGTGGACCCTGTCCTTGCCCTTCCAGGGCTCACAGTCCAGGGACGAGGGGACTGGCCTAGGAAAGGATCCTGGGCTTGGAAGGGTCACTGTACTGGAAAGTGCAGCTCTGCCTCAGGGAGCATGGGTCAGGAGGAGTCCCCTGGAGGGTACCAGACCCTGGAGGGTACCAGGCCCTGGGCACAGACAGCCCACTGTCTCTGCAGGGAAAGAAGTTCATTGGGGATCTGCAGCCAGATGGGAGAATTGTGTGGCAGGAAACTGGGCAGGTCTTCAACTCTCCCAGTGCCTGGGCCACACACTGCAAGAAACTGGTGAACCCTGCCAAGAAATCCGGCTGTGGCTGGGCCTCTGTCAAGTACAAGGGCCAAAAACTGGACAAGTACAAGGCTGCTTGGCTCCGACGGCACCAGCTGCACGTGCCTGTAGCTCCTGCCGATGAGGTATGTCCTTTGGCTCCTGCAGTAAACGCTCTACGACTTACTGTTGGATGAGGGGTGCTCCGTTGCATACAGCACTTCTAGTGCTGGACCAGAGAAGGTGACTTGACCAGAGAACTGAAGGGGGATGGGGAAGCCATGAAGATATCTGGGAAATGGCCCATGCAAAGAACCTGTGGCAGGACAGAGTCTGGTGTGTTGGAAGCACATCAAGGAGGCCCATGTGACTGRAGCAGAGAGGGAGATAGAGGGAGTAGGTGAAGCACAGAGGGGACAGGGTGGTTCCTGCAGGGCCCTGCAGGTTGCTTGAAGGACTTGACCTTTTCCCCAAGGGAGGTGCGAACCATGGAGGGCTGTGAACAGAGGACTGAGACTGACTCTTGGTGTTCACAGGGGCCCTGTGGTGGCTGCTGTAGGGAGGACAGGCTTTGGGGGGTGAGAGTGGGAATGCTGGGACCAGGCAGAGGGGACTGGGCTGGTCCTGGTGAGCTAAGGATGCAGCTGGAGCCATTGAGGCCATCGATGTGATTTTTTTTTTAATATTTAATTTTTAGTTGTAGTTGGACACAATATCTTTTTTCCATTCATTCATTTTTATGTGGTGCTGGGGATCGAACCCAGGGCCCTGCAAGTGCTAGGTGGGCGCTCTGCCCCAGCCCCAGGTCCTGGATATTTTTGAAAGTGCATCTGACAGGACTTAATGCATCCGATAAGGGGGATCCTGAGTGGGTGGGCGGAGCTGAGCTCAAGAGATGAGAGACATGGAAGAGCAGGTAAGGGGGCCTAGTCTGGCCCAGTGTTGCCATGTTGAGTCATCTGTGGGCAGCTGGACCCCTAGTCTGAGATGGACAAGGCCACTCGGAGGGTGTGGGTGGAGGAAGAGGCCTGAGGCCTACGTGTGGATCCACCTGGGGAAGGACCCATAGAGGTAGCAGGGGGCCCCAGGTGCTGGGTCTGGGTGTCAGGGGAGATGCTCCTAGACAGAGGGGGCCTTGTAGTGGCAGACGCTGCTGAGAGGGTGAGTGCAGGGACCGAAATGTGACCTTTAGATTTGAATCCAAGGAGGTCACCTTGGCAGGAGGCGGTTTTTGAGGGCAGTCAGGGGAATTACAGTGATCCATGTAATTTGCTCTAGAAACGGAACTCGAGGGCGCAGGCCAGATGCTTTACACGGATGATCTCACTTCAGCCCAATGGGGCTGGAGACCACTGGGTCCTTTGACAGATAAGAACGGGAATGGAGGGGTTAGGGCTGTCCACTGGAGTCACACCCCCTTGTAAGAGGCAGAGCAAATTTGAACCAGAGGGAAAGCAGCCTGGGGGCGCCAGCCAGGCCAGAGTTGCGCTTGCGCATTAGACTGCCTCTGCTCGCTCTCGCCCTCTAGCCGCCGTGTTGGGCAATGGCACCTGGGGCTCCGGTCTGCTAGAAGTCTGGGTTCAGGGGTGCCCAATTGAGTGTCCAGCTGAGTGTCCGGCTGCTGTCCCCGCCAGAGCCCGGCCAGCGAAGGGGAGGAGGAGGAGCTGCTGATGGAGGAAGAGGAGGAGGAGGTCCTGGCGGGGGTCTCAGCAGAGGACAAGAATCGGAGACCCCCTGGGAAGGGTCCCTCGGAGCCTGCACACCCTGGTGAGGGGATCAGGAGAGGCAGGGCGGGAAGGGGGTGGCCCTGGAGCATGGAAGGGAGCAGGGAGAGTTGGGGTCTTGCTCGTCTCCGGAGCCCCCAAGATCCTGCCTGGCTGACTTGGTAGCCTCGCTGCTCAATTTCATTTGCTGCCTGTTTTCTTAAACTCTAATGCTGGGTTTCTGAGTACCTCGGCCCCATTTCCTTACGTGCTCCCTGATTTCTTTGGCCCACTACCTGCTTTCCTGAGCTTTTTTTTTTTTTTTTTTTTTTCCGGGATTGAACTCGGGGACACTCAACCACTGAGCCACATCCCCCATCCCCAGCCTTATTTTGTATTTTATTTAGAGACAGGATCTCATTGAGTTACGTGCTCCCTGATTTCTTTGGCCCACTACCTGCTTTCCTGTGCTTTTTTTTTTTTTTTTTTTTTTTTGATTACCGGGATTGAACTCGGGGACACTCAACCACTGAGCCACATCCCCCATCCCCAGCCTTATTTTGTATTTTATTTAGAGACAGGATCTCATTGAGTTGCTTAGCATCTCCCGGTTGCTAAGGCTGGCTTCAAACTCGGGATCCTCCTGTCTCAGCCTCCTGAGCCTCTAGGATTATAGGCATGCACCACTGTGCCTGGCTCTGAGCTCATTTTTTAGTAGTAGTTGGACACGCTACCTTTATTTTACTTATTTTTATGTGGTGCTGAGATTGAACCCAGGGCCTCACATGTGCTAGGTGATCGCTCTACCTCAGCCACAATCCCAGCCCCCTGAGCTCTTTTTGTAAAAGGCTATCTGTCTGACTTGTTGACATTTATTTCCCAGCTGTTTCTGCCTGATTTTTAAGGCTGTCTCTAGATGGATTTATTTTGGTTTCTTGCACTGCCAGGGTGTGCAGATTGGCCTGGGGAGGGCTTTCCGATGCTTTCTTTCTCTCTCCTCCCCCTTTTCAGAGGCCACACCCCCAGGAAAGCGGGTGGAAAACAAGCCTGTGCGCTACTGCATGCTGGGCAGTCGTGACTCTGCCAGGTCAGATGCCCCTCTGCAGCCCTGGCTGGCCAGGTGGGGTGGGGAGATAGTTTCAGGGGTGAGGGAGGAGCCTAGGGGGGCCTGAGGCTGTGGGACTCTTGGCCCCTCCAGGAACCCACACACTTTGGTGGAAGTGACATCCTTTGCAGCTATTAACAAGTTCCAGCCCTTCAATGTGGCCATTTCTAGCAATGTGCTCTTCCTGCTGGTATGTGACTAATCTCCCACCTTGGCCCTGTGTCCAGACAAGGGGCTCCCTGGCCTGGAAAGGGGGCTGGGGTACCCAGGAATGAGGAAGAGAGGGAGGGAGGGGTCTTTGAAATGGCAGCTGTGTAGGAGCAGGGAGCTTTGTTCTGGTTAATAGTAGGTTCTCAACACATGTCTGCTGCGGGTAAATGGTAGTTGCTCAATAAATATGTGGAGGAAGAGGAGGGTGGGCTGGCCCTGTAGGGGGCAGGAGCAACAGCCTGAGCCAGTGCCCACTACTCCCTTCCCCAGGACTTCCACAGCCACCTGACTAGGAGCGAGGTCGTGGGGTACCTTGGAGGCCGCTGGGACATCACCAGCCAGAGTGCGTATTGGGGCCGGGTGGACGGGGTGCTGGGAGTCAGACTGACATCTCTTCTCCCCATCGCCCTGCAGTGCTCACGGTGCTGAGAGCCTTCCCCTGCAGGAGCCGGCTTGGGGACGCTGACACGGCAGCTGCCACTGAAGAGGAGGTGAGGGGCTGCCTGGACRGAACACAGCTGTCCTGCCCTTGTCCTGGCAGCTGGCAGTGTTAGCGCTCAGCAGATGTGCGAATGGGACCCAGCCCTGGCTCCTAGGCTCTCTGCCAACCCTACCAGCCCTTCCCCTCAGACCCTCGGTGTTCTTTTCTGTGAAACCTGAGGTGTCGTTGTCTCACGCAGTCCGGTACCTGGCCCTTAGCTCGCATGGGGCTGCTGTGTGCTTCTCCCTTTTCTGTGGTGCTGAGGCTGGAACTCGGGGCTCCCGCAGGATAAGTAGGTGGTCCTCCGCGGGCCACATCCCCAGCCCTTTTCAGTTTCTTTTGAGACAGGGTCTTGCTAGGTGACCCAGGCTGGCCTGGGACTCGTGACTCACCTGGGAGACTCCTGGTCCCGGGCTGTGCTCCATGCCACTGCTGCTCTTAGTCTTGTTGTCATGATGGAGCTCAGTGTGTCCCTGGCACTGTGCGGAGCACTCTGCAACCACTCTTCGAGGCGTTGTCACAGTGTCCCGCAGGGCACAGTGAGCAGGCGCTGATCAGGCACATGTGTCGCCGCCCTGTCCATCTCTGCCCCTCCTTGTTCATGGCTGGGAAGGTCCYTCTTGGGCGGGGCAGGCTCTGTGCCTCCCACCGCAGTTGCCACGGCAGATGGGAACCGTGGGCGCGCGGACCCTGGTGCTTGCCATTCTCTGAGCCACACACACTGTGTCAAGTATCAGGCCACCCAGGACAGTTCCAGCCTAGGGGAGGGTGTGCACAGGTTCCGTGCAGATGCTGTGCTGCGCTGTGCAAGGGACTTGAGCACCCTGGGATCCCGGTGTCCCCCACAGATAGAGGGCCCACTCTAGTTGCAGGAGCAGAGAGAGGCACTGAACAGAACTACCCTGTCCCCCACCCTGCTGCTGCCTCTGCCCAGATCTACCAGAGCCTGTTCTTGCGAGGCCTGTCCCTGGTCGGCTGGTACCACAGTCACCCACACAGCCCAGCGCTGCCCTCGCTGCAGGACATTGACGCGCAGATGGACTACCAGCTGCGGCTGCAGGGCTCCAGCAATGGCTTCCAGCCCTGCCTGGCGCTGCTGTGCTGTGAGTCCTGGGCTGAGGAGTGGCGCCCTGCTGGGCTGGCTGAGCCTCCAGCCAGAGCCCTCTCCTCCTCCTTCCCCAGCCCCGTACTACTCTGGCAACCCGGGACCCGAGTCCAAGATCTCACCCTTCTGGGTGATGCCTCCTCCCGAGGTAGGTGGGGCTGCCGGGGTTCTTGGGAGGCCAGGGGGTGTGAGTCGGTGTGGGCAGATGTGCCAGGGCCAGGAGGGTGTGCTGGTGGCTCAAGGTAGGGCACTTCTGTCCTGGGCCTGTTTCTCCCACTGACTTGGTCTAGGGAGGGGAGGGAGCCGGCACCCAGTCCTGCCCTCCGGCAGATGCTGTTGGCCACCCTATTTGAGCTTCTCTGAGACCCGACGTGGGCCTGGGTGCAGCACGCTGCTCTTAGTGCCGTGGCTTCCTTCCCAAGCCCTGCCTGGCTTCACTGCCCAGGCCCCGCTAGGGGTCAGAGGTCATCCCTGGGGGGAATTCTGGGCTCCGTCTCTTCTTGGCATCTGTGGGCAGGATGCCACGCTGGCCCCATTATCTGGCTCTACCAAGGCCCCATATGGTCCGTAGCCCCGGATCCCAGCCCCAGGCCCTCTGCTGTCCCCACTGCCATGGGTGGGCTGCAAGGTCTTCTGACTGGCATGCACTGCCCTCAGCAAAGGTCCAGCGACTACGGCATCCCCATGGAGGTAGAKATGGCCTACGTGCAGGACGGCTTCCTGACCAACGACATCCTGCACGAGATGGTGAGCTCCACGTGGGAGGGACGGGGGAGATGCCCTGCTAGAGGCACCCAGCCCATCCAGATTGACTGCCAATCCTAGGACAAGCCCCAGACCCTCCACAGTCCCACTCCCTGTTCCTGGCTAGCTCCCGCCTTGGGCCTCTGCACCCGCCACTGGTTCTCCAAGTAGAGAAACTGCAGTTTGGGGTTGTGCCCAGGGCCTTGCACACACTAGGCCAGAGCTGCTCACTGGGATGCGCCCCAGCCCAGGTCATAGGCTTGATAACCACATGTTCAGCATGTGCTAAAAAAAGCCCACCTTCTTCACACAGCTGCACCCGAGTGCCATTCCTTGGCCCTAGGCTAGAAGAGGCAGCAGGGCAGGCCTGCTCCCTGGTGTCCCAGGGGCTTTGTGGAGTCCTGGGGAAGGGAATGTGATTGTAGCCAAGCCCAGAGGTCCCTCCATTTAGTCAAATTTGGATTAGGTGAGAGGGAGTGGAAGCTGGGGCTGGGATCCTGCTGTCTGGATAGGGGTCTTGGGACACAGCTGCTTGGCTTGGTCTAGGGAGGGGAGGGAGCTGGCACTCAGTCCTGCCCTCCGGCAGATGCTGCTGGTGGAGTTCTATAAAGGCGCCCCGGACCTGGTGAGGTTCCAGGAGCCCTGGAGCCAGGAGCACAGYTACCTGGACAAGCTAAAGGTGAGACCACATCTGTCCCCAGGAGCTGCAGCCCCAAGGACTGTGCATAGGGAACACCCAGGACTATACTCAGGACACCCCAAGAAAGTGACCACAATGAAAATAAAAATGGGAACACCCCGGGGTGAGCAGCTCAGCAGGGGCTTTGCTGAGCACACACAAGGCTCTGGTTCTCCCCTGCACAAAAGCCCCTTGGACCTCGCAACCCCCAGGACGTCCCAGTTGGAGAAGCCTCTCCATCAGACCGCGTGTCACTCAGGGCCACCTGAAGAGGGCACACAGGTTTTGATTTGATTTGGAGCCTTGAGCTCCAGCAAGGCCAGAGGCAGCTGGTGTGTGAGCTGGCTTCTCTGGTGGCTGGCCCTGGCGCCGCCTTCTTAGGGTGCCCTGTTTACTTCTTACTTGAATCTGTCTGTATACTTTGTGTAGAAGCACTTTCCTGCCCGCCTGTGGCCTGTCACTCACACTTGGACTCAGTGGCCTGGGATCTGGCAGGCAGACCCCCCCCCCCCYGGACATTGTGCCTGCAGCCCACTGGTTCTGGGTCAAAAGCACTGTTCCCCTTGGCGAGTTGGGTGGTGGCAGGGCACTGAGCCACCAGCCCTGCTTGTTTCAGATCTCCTTGGCCAGCAGGACACCCAAAGACCAAGGTCTGTGCCATGTGCTGGAGCAGGTCTACAGTCTCCTCAAGTAGGGGAGCTGAGGGTGCTGTCCTGAGATCAGAGGTGACTATGGGGCCTGGCTCAAGGACTCCGTCTGTTGCTGTCCCATCCTGTGTGATGTATACAGGCTTGGATAATAAAGAACCGAGCAGCCAGCAGCCTGCAATGTGTCTCATGGGTGGACGAGAGCCAGCTGCATGCCCAAGCTGGGTCCCCTGAGCAGCTCCAAGTGTGGCTTCCTCCTCTGGGTAGCAGGGCAGGGCACTGAGCTACAGATGCAAGTGGTTCCCCAGCCAGCTCCACAGCACCTACTGGGTGAGGGCTGCTGTTTAGGCAGCAGAGCACCTTGGGATGCAGAATCACCCACAAGTGACTGGGGGCTGGTACTAGGTAGGGATGCCCCTTACTGACCAGCACAGAGGAGCTGAGGCCTACCACTGCACCAACATGAGACTAAGGGCTGTAGAAAGAAACATTTAATACTTCTTTTTTAAAAAAATTAGGCGTACATTTCAGTCCACCCTGGATGGGAAGCCAGGTCGCACTGCCCATCTTGGCAGAGACTGCGTGTCCCCATGTGGTAGCCACAAAGGGGCAAAAGAGAAGGACAGAGCCTGGTGTCCCAGGGGCTTTGTGGAGTCCTGGGGAAGGGAATGTGAATGTGGCCAAGCCCAGAGGTCCCTCCATTTAGTCAAGTTTGGATTAGGTGAGAGGGAGTGGAAGCTGGGGCTGGGATCCTGCTGTCTGGATAGGGGTCTCGGGACACAGCTGCTGGCTTGGTGTAGGGAAGGCAGGTGCTGGCAAGCCAGGTCTGAGGTGCCAGTCTTCAGAGCATTCGCACTCAACCTCCGGCAGAGCAGGATGGGCCGTGGTCCCAAGTGAGCTGTTTGTGTGCAGGGTGGGCACAGCCCTCCATGTGCTGGGCTGGGGCTTTAAGAGGCTGGACCCATCGTGAGGGTGGGTCCAAGCCAGCCAGGGTCTGAGGACTTGGCTGGGAGGGTGGCAGGCTCCTGAGACAGCGGTGGGCCCAGGGCTCCTGGGAGAGGGCTTGTCCTTGAGCAGGCAGCCTCCGAAAACCCAGGCCTAACTCGTCCTGACCACAAGCAGAGCTGACAGCAGGTTCTAAGAGGTGGGGGACGCCCTGGCCTAGGGGCCTCTGAGGGCCCCAGCTCTCCAGGAAGTAGCATGTGTGCAAGGCTCAGGGACAGCACCTCTGGGACTTCAGGCCTCTGGGGTGCCCTGGATGGGGGCCTGGCCCATCGCCAGCAACGGGCGGGGAAGGGATTTAAAACCTGGGATGTGGGGAGGTGGCCAGGGGTCTTGCCTCAGTCCCACCCCACCCTGTTAAGGCAGCAGGTCAGGTGACAGGGAGAGGAGCTGGGCCCTGCAGCCACAACAGGATGGCCCCAGGATGGGAGGGAATTGCCACTCCTCCAGGGAACATTAGTGTTTCTAAGAGCACCTTAGTGTTAGTCCCACCTCAGGCCTGCTGGCCGGGGAAGGAGGCCATGAAAGGGAAGGAAGGACGCAGCCCAGCCCCAGGAGGACTGCCAGAAGGTGGGGAAGGGAGCCCGCTGCCTCCAGTGCGGGCCCACGCTCACTGGTGCAGACGGGCCTCACCTGCCCGGATGAAAGCTGCCTGCCCAGTTGGCCCTGCAGCCTGGTGACAGGCCACCTGGTGGGCCCGAATCAGCTGCTAAATGGAATGCAGGAGACCCAGCTGGTGTGGACGGAGGGCGGGAGGGCCTTGGCATGTCACTGCGGCAGAGGCACGAGCACCTCCACGTAGCTGAGGGGGAAGAAGCCCGACTGGCCGTGCAGCATGCCCTCGTACCAGTTCTCGTCGATCTGGTTGGTGAGCGTGATGAGGTCGCCCTCGCGGAAGCCCAGCTCCCCGTCGTTCTCAGGCTCAAAGTCGTACAGTGCCTTGCAGCTGGGCTGGTCCAGGGGTGCTGAGGGCAGGAGAGATGTGAGGGCCACTGTGCCCTCACCAGCTCTCTCTCACCAAGCCCTGGCCCCTCTCCCTGGTGGCCCTGCCACTCAGCTCCCCCCCCCCCCCAAGGAAGAGAGGCGGAGCCAGGTCTGGCAATGGTCAGCCACAGTGTTGCTGGGAAGCACTGGAGATGCCCACAGGGTCATGGGGAAGGGAGACTGGCCAGAGCACTCAGGGCACTGTACAGGCAAGACAGCCTTGAGCCAGGCTGGTGTCCTTGGCCCTCAGCACTTGAGCCCCTGGTGTGCACATGAGGCTAGGGGCTGGAGACCCACCAGCGGTGGGGGCGGTCCAACCAGCTCCCATCTGGGCCCCACTGCCCACAGGGGACAGGCGGGACTTCCTGGCCCAGGAGATGTGTAGGAGAAAGACCCCTTTGGAATAGAACAGAAGGCAGTGTTGCCAGCTAAGTCCAGCCATCAGCAGGGAAGCCATTAGCAGGGGACACTCACGCATACTCCTACTGGGGGTCCGGATGGGCTTGTCCGAAGATCGGAAGGATGATGAAGCTGCTTGTGAACAGAACAGGGGGAGACTGATCACAGTGTGTATGGGGGCCATTTCCTGGTCCCTGGGGACCCCTCCTGTAGTCCAGGTGGACAGTGGGCTTGGGTTTTCCTGGGCCTTGGCTCTCAGAGGCCTGGGACAGGGCCAGCCCTCTGCCACCCAGAGCAGCATTCCATTCCCTGCTACCTGTGGTCTTGGGGGCTGTGGTGCAGGGGAAGCCCCCGTTGGACTGCTCAGGCTCTCCGAGGTCAAACGGCTCCCGGGGCTTGGGCTTGTACTCCCGCTTGGGGCGTGAGGAGGCGTCTCGCACCCTGTGGGGGGAATCATTGGCCATGAGGGCCTCAGCACTCTAGATCCAAGCTGATGCCCTAGGCCCCGTCACAGGGGACATTGTTGGTTGGAGGCTCCTGGAACCAGTCAGAGGCCCTGGCCTGGTCCCCCACCCCCGCCCGGCACCTTCAGAAGCTGCAGACTACTTCTAGATAGTTCAATGCACGGGTTATGCTGTGAGGTCCCCGACAGCCCAGGAAGCAGGTGCCCTGCACGTCCTGTCCCGCCTCCCTGAAGCCGGCCCAGCTCTAGTTGACCACACGCCTCAGAGGTGAGCCTCAGGCAGGGCATGGGTGAGGAGGGGTCAGCAGACTACCGTGGACCTCAGGGTGAACTGGGTGGCTCAGCACTCCTCTAACCTCTTGGCCCTCATGTCACTCCTGCTGTCTCCCAGAGGGACCAGGACAAGCCTAATAATGTCCTGCTTCCTCATGTGGCCCCTCCCAACTCAGGCAGCCTGGGAGACTCTGGAAGCAGACTCAGGGCCGTGCTGTGGAACCTGATCACACCAGGGCGGCCTCACACATGGGGCTGCTGTCCCTATGGCCAACAGAGGGGCACGAGGGCCCAGGGCCTGCAGGAAGCATGGGGACTCAGGCTTCAGGGAACTCTGGCGGCGAGCCATCGGGGACAGGGAGAGAACAAGAGGGACTCCAGCAGAGAAGATGCCCACCACAGCGAGGCAGCCCACCTGCGCCTGAGCTTGTCGGCCAGCTCGTCCAGGATCTGCACGGCCTGTCGGTGGTAGTCCAGCTGCGCGTCCACCAGGGCCGAGAGCTGGCTCACCTGCTCGATCTGTGGGACCAGCAGGGCTGGAGGGACACCACTGTGGTGGCGTCTCCCTGCTGACCCCCACGCTGCAGCCTGAGTAGGGCCCCAGGTTTGGGGAGTGCTCCTCGCTTTTGGCAGTGGGCAGGCTGCTGCCTGCAGCCCTCTGTCCCCCTGAAGCCATGTGGCCTCCCTCAAGCTTTCGCTGAGCCTGGGTGTGCCAGGTACAGGAGGGGTTACCCTGGCTCCTGTGATGCCACCCGACCCCCACGACACCCTGGGCAGATGGTCACACAGGAGGGCACAACGGGATACGGCCACGCACGTCTGTCTCCAGGAGGTTGTGCATGCTGGTCTCTGCCACTTCCTTGGACTCCTCAAACTTCTCCAAGGCCTGGCGCAGCTCCTCGTCAGGGATCTTGCCCTGCCGCTTCTTTTTGTAGTCAAAGTCCAGGCGGCGACCTTCCAGCTTCTTCAGGTGGTGCTGTAGGTTGCAGGGGACAAGTGTCACCTGGTGGCTCCCAGGATAGATGGGAGAATTGTCCACCATGTGACCTGGTTGTTGTGGAAGGGTGACCCTGGGGCTGGGCTGAGGGCGGGACTGGGCAGTGGGACGCTGCAGCAGCACCTGGATCTCCTTCAGGTCTTTGTCACACAGGTTCTGCAGCGGGTCAATGAAGTTCTGCTTGACCTCTATGTCCAGCGAGTCCTTTACCTCAGCCAGGCGCTTCATGGACTCCCCTGCATCCAGCAGGGCATCACCTGCAGAGAAGAGGGGCATGGGAAGCTGTCGCAGGGGCCCTTCCTGCTGAATCGATGTCCTCCCCGCTCTTGAACAGCCCCTCCTTAACAGCCAACATCCTGGCAATTGGAATTTGGTACCAAACAAAGGCTCTTCCCTAGTGTCCCTCCCTATGGTCAGGTTTGGGTGAATCGACCCCTGCCCGCCCACCCCCACTGGTCTGGACAGCCCCCTGCATGGGGAAGCTCTTTGTGCCATCACATATCCCCAGTCCCAAGGATGGCACTTGGCACAGAGGGCCTGAGAGCTGTGCCCCTGGGGACTATGCTCAGAGCTGCCCTGCAGGGGGCAGCATGTGCAGCTCACCAAAGTTGGACTCTCCGCCCAGCTCCTTCCCGTGGCGGATCATGCACTCTCCCAGGAGGCCTTCCGACTGCGGGTAGCCGGGGTTCTTCACCTGGCCCCGGATCTTGGACACCGTGTTCAGCATTGTCAGCTTGGCCCGAGAGGCTGCAACAGGACCAGCCAGGGGGGCGCCATGGGGATTCCTCCCGCACCTGTCCCTTCTTAAAGTGTACCTGTGCAAGACCTGTTTCCCAAGATCGCCCCCAAGACAGGCCACCAGGAGTGTGACTCCCCTCTGGACACCCCAGCAGCCAAAAAGAATTGGCAGTGCACAGGAAGAGCGGGCCCCCAAGTGAGTGCAGTGAAAAAAAAGCTGCAGGAGGGAGGAGGGAGCTGCACGTGCGGCCTTGGGGGTGGGGGACACAGCTGTGGACCTCTGTCCCTTTCTGTTCTTGGCACTGGCCTCCAGTGGCTGCTGCTGGATTTGCTGCTCATCTGTGCTCCTTGCCTCCCACTGCAGAGCCAGGGGAAAGGTTCTGCCTGCTCTGGGCCCAGGAGTCAGCCCCATACTCCAAGGATGGAGCCCTGACCAGAT